CATGTGGTTGACTACCTCCTCATTGAAATAAACTGTAGCATCTGATGTGTTACTAGAATTGTCACTCTTCGGCTTAAATACATCATAATTTGTAAGGACATGATCCCATGAATAATTAGAATCTGGCATGGCTAAATGCCATAAGGTAGTGATGATCGACCCGTTCGATGTTTTATTGCAATATCCAGTCCAAGCGGTAATTCTACCAATTTCACACCATCGCACAGCAAATGCGAGCACGGGAACGTGACTCTGTGCTCCATTCAGTTTGGGGCTGCTGTTGACCCATCCCACAATAGGATATTCTCTGGACCCTCCACCGGACGGTGAGATATAGTTGCCAGTCAGCGCTCCAGTGCTTTGGTTAACACTCTGAATGTTCAGGGTTGAGTTGAGTTGATTTTTCCATTTTCCACACAAATCCGTGCAGTTCTGCGCCGTCACTTCTATAGAATACTGTACATGATTTTATTAATATTACATAGCAATACAATATAGTAATAACAAGATAATATTTAAAATAATGAAGAAGTTGTTACAGTAAGGGTGGTTAAAAGGAGCAAGAGTAAGTTACGTTTCATTTTTGATTTAATTTAGTGGAGAGAATTATGCCTTAACTATTGAAGCATATATCCTGAGTGTAATGAAGGACTACATAATTCTGTGCAGTTTGCATTTTTATTGCATCACCATCACTCATGTGGAAGTTCAGCCAAACAAAATCTGTAATACTAACGATAATCAAAAATATAAATTTAATCAGAGATGATCGAGATAGCGCAGTTAGGGATTAGATTACTATGTAATTTACAAAATGTTGCAATCGATTAATCAATTTATTGACCTTAAAGTTTTATTTGAAATATCTAGAACTATTATATTAATCTGGATTTCAAAATTAATATATGATGTATGCTTTTTTTAATGTGATAACATGGCATCATGTTTTATGAAAAAAAGATGATATTAATTTTATTATAATAATAGATCATTTATGCTGCATATTTTGGTCCGTTATCTAACATCCCGGGACCAAGGCTATTTCCATTAACTCGGCTTTTTATTTCTTGTAAACAATTGTTTGGATATAGGTAATTTAAAGGTCGAAATTTTGGGAGATTGAGAGTTTTTAAATTGGAATCTCAAAAAATAATGAATTACATAAAATGGGTTAATACTAACGATTATTTTCTTTGATTATGTATGCGTGTATGTGCTTATTTGAAAGGTGGAAATTCTTACAATTTGAAGTTGTGCCAAAATATGGAAAATTTGTTAGGCTTGGTATGTTTTTTATTTTCAGAATTAGGTAAATTCATAAGATTATTTGTTTTGATAAACAGCGATTGTACTTACTATTTTAATAAAGGACCAAAGCTTGTTATGATTTCAGACAAGGATGCCATTAAAAAAGTAATCCATGTTTATTACTACACGTATAAATGACAATTTGTTCTATAAATTGTTTACTTTTTAATCTTTTATAGATTTTAACAGCCGTACGTTCATTTAAAATTTTAAATTCATCGAAGACTTCATTAAATTGATTTCATCTATCGCAGGAATTTCCAAAAAGTGTGATTTACAAAACCTTAAGAATGAGTGAAGAATATGAAACATTATTTTCTTTGACGTACGTTTTTGTTTTCTTAAAAGAAGAGAATCTTCATTTCATTTAAACCAATTCTTGTTTTTTTTTTTCATCTAAAACAAAAAGTGATAAAACCTTTCATAAACAACGTGTATGTATCTGAATGTATGTACCGTAGATTCTCGAAATAGTGGGCAGGGGCACGCTATTATGACTATGTGCGCGTTATTTCGAGTACGCGCATGGGCGTTATTTTGAAACAAATATAAATTTTTAAGCATTTTATTAAAAAAAATAATAAGTGCTCCAAAAGTAGTTTTCATCCTAAGTAAACTGACTTTTGGCTACTAATAAATGTTGTTCTTCAGACCGAGACGATTCTGGTGGTGGTTAAATAATCAAAAATGGTTTAGTAGATCGTTCGCAATAGCTATTTAAAGTTTATAACGTTTGTTTACTTTTGTTTATACGATTTGCAAAAAGTGAACAAACGCCATAAAACTTTAAAGAGCTATTGCAAATGATCTACTAGACTATTTTTGATTATTTAACTACTGTTAGAATCTTCTCTATCTGAGGAACAACTTTTGTTAGAAGCTAAAAGCAGATTTACTTAGTGCAAAAACCTACTTTTGGAGCCCTTTTTAAAATCGATCATAAATAAATATTTTTTTTATAGTATGCGTGTTATTTCGGAGTGCGCATGTGCGTTATTTTGAAACCACATATGTAATTTTTAGGGGCGCAAATTTCAAATTAACGCTCATGCCCGCTATTTCGAGAATTTAGGGTATCTGAAATCTACAAATGTCACTTGAATTCCTCACGAAATCTTTTTTTTTTCTTAAATTTAGCGTCGAATAATTTCGCCAGCGTTCTCCATAAAATACATTGCATCATTAGAAAAATTGATGTTAATATGTTTAAAAGATTTGGTTTATAATGTTGATGAAATGTTAAAAAGTAAAGGTGATATTTTGAATATTGTTAATCTTATTCAGATTTGTACAGTGGTAGGTAATTCTTAAGAAAATCGTTTATTAAATTCACAAAGAAAGGACTCGAAATTTTTTTTTTTATGAGGATATAATTGGTGAAACATCGTTTGGCAGAAAATTTAACAGTATCAAAGCTGGTGAACATCCTTTACCTGGAAAAGTTTGGAAAGAATTAAGGAGAAGACTGATGGTTAGTAAATACACATATATATATATTTCAATTTTTATCAGATGGATTAATATCAAAATTTTAGAGATCGGCATTTCCGTTATTAAAACCTTTGTTAATAGAAGATCTATATTTAAGAAATGTAAGCTCTCATTTATTGTTATATATTATTATTTGTGTATAATCTTTTTAAATTTTAATTTTCTTTTTTATGTAGTTTACTGATTACTTAATTAAAACTCGTCGAGAGGGAATTAATCAAAAAACCGATATTTTACAAATTTTATTAAATACCTTTGATAATGAAACAGAACAGCCTAAAGATATGAAGGTGAAACTAAGTGAAAATGGAAATAGAATGACAAACCTTGAGATCTATGATCAGATCGTAGAATTTTTGTATGTTATTTATTTAAAATTTTTCTTTCTAGTTTTTGTATTCTATTCTATTCTAATGTTATATTTCTAATTTTTCTGCATTTATTTATTTTCAGAATTACAGGAACAGATACTGTTTCATTTACAACTGCAATGACGCTTGTTCAACTTTCCAAAAATTCACAAAAGCTATTATCTCTTGTTAAAGAGTTGGATGAAGTTTTGAGTATTGATGAACTGCCTACTTATAACAAATTAAGGGACTTGAAGTATTTGAATGCTGTTATTAATAAAACTATAAGATTATGGCCTGTTTTTTTGGTACATACAAAACTTTAATTAAGTCTAGTATTTTGGGATTATTTGGACTATTTACATATATTTATTCATTTATTTCTTTATTGATTTGTTTTTGAAATCTGGCAGGACGGAGGTAATTTTATTCTTTATTAGAGGTTCAATCATTTATTTATTAATACATATTAACCCTTCTTTAATAATAGGTATTGGAAGAACTCCAGAGAAAGATTCAATAATTGGAAAATATCTGATTCCCAAAGATGTAAGTTTTTCTATATATTAATTCTTAAATTTGCTTCACTTGTTTATTAGCTAAAATTCGGTTATGAATATTTATATTAGACAAATTTAGTTTTGAACATATACGATCTCCACCATGATCCAAATTATTGGGGCGAAAATGTTGAAGAGTTTATACCTGAAAGATGGCTGGAGCCTGAAAATATTCCACATGATGTGTATTATCCATTTTCTGCAGGTTTGTTTTTTATATATTGGCACAAGAAATTTATTCAATTTTAAATAATTTGATTAAGTAGCGTGTACTTTAGGCTTAAGAAATTGTATTGGGCAAAAGTAAGTAACTAATGTATATTTTATAAAAATTTTTTTATTATGTTCTTTTATTTGAATAATAATAATAATAATACTAAGCTTTACATTTTAACTTTATAATGTTCTTTCAAATTAATTTCGTTAACAAAAAAAATGTAATTAAGTTTTGCAATGATGGAATTAAGGCTTTTGATTGCTACTCTTGTTCATAGATACAATATCATGGATGTTAAAGGACAAGATATAAATATTCTACAATATTTTACACCAAGCTTTAAGAATTTGAGATACGATCTGAAGTTTGAAAAGAGAAAGATAAAATAATATAATATTAAATACATTAGCAAGTTTTTTTCCTCAAGTTTTGATCATATAATTTTGACAACATTAAATTAATAGACATGTTGATAAAATCCAGAATGAACTAAAAGTTATTTAACATATTCCTTATAATATATGAAAAGTTGTTAAATTATGTTAAACTCTTTCTGTAGATCATTTTACCAAAACTGAACAAAAAGCAAAAAACTTTCTAGCAAGAATACAGCAATAACTACTAAGTAAACTGAACTTGGGCTCTTAATTAAACTTGTTCTACATACTAAACATGACTTAAAAGAGGTGTCAACCTCAGAAAAACCTCTTACTAGCAGTCCTGAATAGCAACAACATCAAAAACAGTACTGCAGAAAACAACTCGCACTCTAGCAAAAATGGTCCTAAGGTCTTTACATTTTTACTAACCCAGTATACAGGCACAAGATGTCAGTTCCAAAAAATATTAAAAAAACAGTAGAAAACCTACAAACTAATCCATCACAAATTCTGAACCAAACAACCTCCCAAAGCATCTTTTTCTCTTCTATCTTAGCCTATTTCACAAACAAATCTACCATTTCAAAGAATCTTTTACCTACAATCCCAACCACCAACTCTTTTATTGAATATGCAAAAGAGTTTATTAGTATTAATATAAAAGACCCTGTCAAACTCACCTTTACAGTCACTTTTCTTGTCTCTGACTTTGCTGACAAATATCTCTTTACAGTTGATCTTACCAAATTCAGTCATGTCTTTAACCTCATTACCTTTCTAACACAATGGTTATGCAAACACAAAAAAGCTTCCCAATCAATACCTTTTGACTTTATAACTACTAGAAACAACTTCATAAACATCAGTGCCAAATTTTCCAGAAGCATACAAAGCAACATGGAAAAATGGTCCAATTACTTCGTGGTATTCTAAGAAACAAAGATTTCATAGACATAAAAATTATTGTGTTGTTCTCAAAAGTCTAAATAACTTTAAGAATATCAGTATTGACTTTTTAAACAAGGTTAGACAAAAATTTTGTACTATATTTAGATGGGTGAACCGTTATTTGACTTCGGCCCAAATTAGATTTAATTTGCCGAAAACCTTAACGGTTCACCATCTATATTATATGAGTGCGTGAGAGTGAAAACCTGAAAACCGATTTAATGAGTGCGTGAGAGTGAAAACCTGGAAACCGATTTAATGATTTACTATGATCGGTTTCCAGGTTTTCACTCTCATGCACTCATATCATTAAATTATATTACAGATCAACATTCTAATACAATTGATTTATTTTTTATTCGATTTCTTTAGTTAGAAATCTATAATAAGTGCATAAAATCTACTAGATACGATAAGGCCACTCCAAATTGATTCTTTATTTAACATAATATTAAATGGTTTATAAGAGTGGGGGGGAGGGTGTAAAAAATACACAAATTAAAAAAACAGCAATTTTATTGGTTGATTTAACATGTGTTAGTTATATAAAATTTAAAAAATTGAGGGAGGGTAAATACTATTAATTACTATTAGTGAGTATTGGGTTCATATAAATTTTAAAAAATAGGGGGGGGGGGTATGTTAAACGAAGAATTAAATTGGTCTGGCCTAATGAACATCTCATTAAGTCGTTTGGCATAACTCAAAACCCGACAACTGAAAATTTCATGATTATCATGGAATTTATAGTGAATAGAGATTTACATCATTTTCTATCAAGAAATATCAATGTTCTACCTTGGTTAAAAAGACTAGTGTGAGCCCCAGAAAAACATGACCGAGAGCCCGGCAAAAATAGATCGGTCACGTGAAAAATGCAAAAAGTGCATTTTCGATCGAAAATAATATTTAGGATGTAGAGGGATAGATAGGAGGTGAAGGGGTGGATGTAAAGACAAATTACACAACCTTAAAAATGTTAAAAATAATAATTGTAAATAGTTTTATTATAATATATTAAATATAATGTTGCATTTGTAGACTTTATTACTGTATTCATGTTGTGTAAGACGAAAGTTTTTATAAACTGCTACACCAGAAAAATACTTTCCATATAACTATATAATAAAACAAAAAAAGTCTTAATGTCAAATTTTTTGTTACTGCAAAAGGTCTATTAATAATCATAATTCTTAATTCGAGATCTAGTCTAATCCAACGGCTTCTTTTATTAACTATTTCATCTAAATCCTTCTTTACTTCAGAACTAAATTGATTACCGATAAATATCAACGAGGATAAAGTTTTGTTCACGTAAAGGGAATTAACTAATGCTTTTCCTACAACATTCCCAAGGTCATTGAATGAAAGACTTAAAAAAGATAAACTATTATTTTTGTAAAGTGCATTTGCTAATGCTTCTCCACCTTCAGGCCCAATTTGGCTATTAAACAAATTTAAATTAGTTAACGTGTTGTTTTTGCTAAGTGAATTTGCTAACGCTTTTCCTACATCAGAGCCAAGCTGATTACATGAAAGATCTAACGAAGTTAAAGCACTATATTTACCAAGGAGTATTTGATAGACATTGCATCAGATGCGTCAATCATTAATAGAATCATGGGATTATAGTGGCTTAGTGCTGCATAGTAATAAGTATATCGCTACAGTTACTATAAGAAAAAAATTTTTTCGTGCTTTACAACTATTTAAACTTTGTTGAAACAAGTTTTTTATAAAAAAAGATATCAATTCAGTTGCAATCTTTTATAAGAGCCTCTAAACACAAACAAGAAGTATACTTATTTTCTTGACTGGCTATTTTACCTACAGCCATTTAGCTAATATCACAATCTTATAACTAACGAGTTTTTTTAATATACATACATTAATGTATATGTTTTAATGTATGCTATCTTGTATGCTATATGCTATCTTGTATGCTATATATATTGTGCTGTTATTTTTAAAACTCGTTCGCTGAGATTTATAAATAAAGATTTAGATCCTTAAAGTAACAACTTTCATGAATTTATATTTAAAAAACAATATATATCAGATATATAATTATACAGGGTATACTCTTCAGGCTGTGAGCTTAGCTCTGTCTAGGTGTAGGCACTCGGGCGAATATCGCTAGGCGAAGCCAGTCTTTTGCGTCTGAGTGAGCAAATATTCTTGGTCGTTAGGGAGGGCTAGAATGATGGTGACTCTTATTTCGACCATTAATATGTACTTATTAAGTTAAGTACACGCCCCGGCAGATATTTTTCCCTTTGACATTTTGTTTCTTTCTCTTTTTAAATATCGTGCTTAAAAAACATCTTTTCTAATGGCCTTTTTGCCATTACTAGATGCCTAGAGTACCAAAAAAGAAGTCTGTAACTTCACGATTAAAGGAACTTAAAACAACTACTTAAAGAACGAAAGGTTCCACCCGAAGAGATTTTACAAAACAATTATATAAATGGGACTAGAATATCACGTCTTAAAGAAGAAAATATTATATTGAGATCAAGGGAAGAAAATTTAAAACTTGACAATGAAAGTTTAAAAATTGAAGTCGGAAAGTTAATGGAAAAGAGACGTAGAAAAGAGTTTATGCTGCATTGTTAAAAACATATTCATTGTACTGTATCTTCTGTTAAAGTTCTTTATGATATAATTTTTTTGAAAAAATTTCTAGCTCTGTAAATAAAAGAACCAACTTGTTAAAATAAAATAAAATACCAAGAATCTTCATTTTAAGAATCAAAGAAATGAAATTGGACCTTAGTATAAATGATTACAAACAGACAGTCAATTGACTGTCTGTACAATCTTGATGTGCAAAACCAGTTACATAGATGATCTGCAATGTGATTTTACGCCTTTTTATAAGAAAAAAAAGACGAAATGCAACATTCACCTCTATGCTAACTCAACAATATCATAAGTTATTATATTTTTGCTTCATAATGTTTATGAATTGGTAGATTTCTCTCCTTGTAATAATAAGCTTACTATCCTTAACGGATTTAAAACCAAAAACAATCTTTTAAAGAAAGAAAACAATTTAAATATAATTTTAAGACCTGAATAACATTTCATATAACTACGTAAATATATTATGGAGAACTTAAGAGAAAATTGTAAGTAAAGAAACAATACTTGAAGCGATTCTTATTCAAAATTACATTTTACTAAGAATTGGTTTATATGATACATCTATAGTGTTTTGGCACTTATAATATACTTCGTGTTTTTAAACTTTTGTAAGTTTATATAATAATAAAACATTTTAATCTTACATTAATGTTAAGATTTAGATCATATTTTGAGTTAGAAGAATTTTTAGATACATGGAATATTTTTATTTATAGCATTACATATCAATTAACTAGTTAGTTTAGATAATATCTATATAAGTGCAAAAATTTTTAGGTGTATTCTAATAAATCGTTTTTAACATACAGTACAATTGGTTAACAAATATGTTGTGAACAAGCCAAATAAATACGCATTACTCTGGTTATATCAATATTTGGATATACCAATATCGATATTTTTTATGATAAAGTAAATTACAGTGGCACTTAATACTAAAATTTTAAAAAAATTTAATATAGAAAGATGTCGTTATATTAGATGTTGGTATAGCCGGAGTAATGTATTTAAACATAGTTTTATTAAGTTTTGGGAATTTATTAGTGACAAGTAAGAATTCCAAAATTTAAAAAAAAATAACAATGTAATTTAGCAATTACAAAGAGACTATACTGTTATAATTGACTTGACTTTTAGATAAATTATTATAATTACTTATTTAATATTTTTATTTTTATAAATCTTATAGCCCAAAACAAAAAATTAAGCGAAGATATTTTAATTTTTAACAACTATGGAATAAATGAAGCATTCGACATTAAGGATCCCGATAGTGATTATGATACTTACGATGATAGTACAAGTTTCATAACTGTTGCAGAAAGTCTTGCATCTGAAGGTGCAATAGTTAATGAAAGTATTGAAATACAACCATTTATATGGGATGAATTTGCTTTTAAACAGGCTCAAATATTGGCTAATAAAAAAGAAAATAATGATGATTGTGAAATCTAATGGGAAGATCTAGAATATGAATTCTCTGAAACGGCATCATTTGTAACAGAATCAACAAACAATGAAAGCCTAGATTATTTTTTAGATAATTGTAAAAAGGCCAAAACATTAACTTCTTGTGTCCTTTTACATGTAATTGATGGTCAAGTAAAGTGATGTTCTAAATATAAACAAAAAACACAACGACCATTAGCACAGTTGCATGGTACCTGGGAAATCGATAGTGAAGCATTTGAGTCAGTCAAAAATAATAATGAACTATATACTTTAGGAGTGTGTAGATCACATTTTACTTTTGATCAAACTGAACTTCATGACGCAAAGCTTAAGAGTATACAATCTATTAAAAAAAGTTGTGTAAATTATCACCAATGCTTATTTTGTAATAAGAACAAATACTTTTTTAGTCGTGGGAGTAGTTGTCTTCAACATTCTACATGTATAATAGGATGAACTGTACAAGCACCTTGCATGGGTCTTAAAACTTGTCCAGTATTTAAGAATTATAGTAATATTAATTCTGATAATAAATATCAACCTCGATATATCTGTAATCAGTGCTTTAACTTACAAGGTGGTCATTTCTTTCAACATCCAGGCATTAATAAGAAACCTGAATTATGTAACAGTAAACATAACGATGATACAACACAAGCACTTGAATTATTAGGATGATTTATTTTAAATATAGCAGCATCAGATAAACCTGAACAAAAAGAAGAATTATTAACATATCTTAGCTCAATGTTACCTTTTATTGACAAAACCAAATCACATATAAAAAATCCACCAAGCCTTTTATTTATAAAAGTGGCCCTACGACTTGGACATATTAATATTATAAAAATAATGGAAAATGACTCTGATCTTACATCTCAAATATCAAAAAAAAATGGTAAAACATTAGGAATCGCAGTATGAAAATCTAGAAATGAAGTTCGGCAAAACAAAGAAGCTCTTGAAAAACCAAACTCTTTAGCCGAATATCAGGCTGCTTTTCCACAATGCATCTTAAATTTTTTCAATGGATTAATTACTAAGTTACAAAAAAAAAAAAACATGATATTACTAGCAAAAAGAGAAGACAGCGAGGATTAGAAATGAAGGCTTTTGATGAAGCCCGAGTAAATAAGATGGCAATATTTTTTGTTTCAGTAATTCTTTCCATTGCTTTCCCTGCTACGGACATTTGGCTTACATATGTAATGAGTTCATTAGCACATAAATCTAAGTTATTAACTTCACTCTACAGTATTTTATGTACTGTGGGTATAGTATCCCATACACAACGATATGAAAGAAAATTAGAACAATGTAGAATGATTAAAACGAATCCAATTCAAAGACTTATAAAAGAGGAAAATGTTTGGAATGTATTTGTTATAGATAATATAGACTTTAAAGAAAGTTCATTCAAATACGGAAATATTTTTGATGATACCAGAAGTACTTCACATGCTACTCTACATGTAGTTTTTCAATTTACACTGCCATTATCACTTAAATCTCTTAAAGATATTACTACGAATGAAACAATTAACAATAGTGATAGCATTGTTCATAATATCAACAATAATATCGATATCAATATCGATTGTACTTTATTTGGTGAATCAACCTTTATAAAAAATCAATATAAAAATCATGAAGTCATTTTTAATAAACTTATAGAACAATGCTTAGATAATTGGGATATTAGTGACATTTATAACAAACTTATAAAAGAAGTACCTTTAGGATGTCAGGTTTTAGATATGAACTTCGTAATTCTCACACCAGGTGAATAACCAAACTGTGATTTAAATGTTCATAACTCATGTGAAATGTACTTTAAAGATTTTCAATTATCAGAAAATGAACACCTAGATATTGCATGTGATGAAGCAATTTTCCATAGATTAATATCATATCATGAGTCAAAGAAAGATAAATCTGTACGGTTGCTCTTAGGACAATGGCACACATCGAAAGCAATGTGTGCAACTATAATTACTATTTTTTCAGGATATGGTATTTTTAACTTAGCAGCAGATCTAGGAGTTAAATATTTAGACAAATTGGAAAAAGTTGTTGACTATGATGCTACATTTCGTGTTCTAGAACTAATTTGGATGGCTGTAGGCATTGCATTAAAAAACTATTTAAAAAATAGAAACCGAAATGAAATGATATGTGACATTGAAAAAGAAAATAACATTGTAAAAGTTTGGATTTTGTATTTTCGTTGGATGGGACTTGTAATTAGTCATAAAATTGGAATAAGGCGGAGCAATTATGACTTACAATTTCATTCACTTTCGGCATTTTCGCCTCTTTTTATAGCTGCTGGTAGAAGTAATTACACACGATCAACAATACATTTTTTAGCCCAAGTTTCTGAAGATCCTTTTTTACAAAGACTACTTCATTATATATGTTCAGTAAATCTAACCCGCCCAGGCCATTATTTGGCTCTTGATGAAGCTATAGAGGTTTATGGAGTAAAATATATTAAGCAACATATAAAGCCAAATATAATGAATAACGAAAAACTTAAATTACAAATATCATCTATTCAACCTGAAATAGATAGAGTAAAATACTTATATCTGACTATGTAGAAGATGTAATAGTAATTTATAATGATCGTAATATACAACCCCGAAATGAAACAATATGGAAGCTTTCTAACAAATTAACTATAGCCTTTCATTTGTCTAACCCAACTGATCATGAATTGTTTAAAAATACTAAAGAAATAAATGAAATTGGGTTTCTTTGCATTTCAACATGCTATATGCAAGGTATAAAGAGATTAAATTCTATTTATCGGCAAGAGATTTTAAAAATTGAAGAATGTAATGTTAAAGGTCGAAGAGCACATGATGTAACCACATATAAGTTGTCAAGTTTAGCAACTAATACAGATAAAAAAAGAAAAAAAAATATTAATATTAATGGTAGTGATAGCAAAACAATTATTGATAATAATGAAAAAACTCCACCTACCAAACGAATACGCAGATCAACAAGTAGTAAAGCAAAAGAGATTCTTTCTTAATTACTTATACACAAATATTCTAATGAAAATGATCAATTATTATATAAAATCCTCCATGAACTTGAAGACATAGAATCTGGTTGGAATAAAGAATGTGTTATGACATATTGGCGAAACCATAACAATAAATAAAAACTTATAATCTGGATAAATAATAATAATTACTGTTGTGTGTTTTTTTTGCCGGCCAGGTCTGATCATTTAAACATTCAGCATTATCATCTGATGAAGGAATTGGCTTTGAAAATTCCCACAATGTATTTTCTTTATTATTATCAATAAATGATTTATGTATAATTATCCAAAAGGTTTTAAAAAGAAAAAAAAATAAATGTTATTTACTCATTCTCAAATGCAAAACTATAACTTTTTCATAAGAATTGTACTGCACAGTCTTTTTGTATCGCTTTTTAGACTTGTTCCGCATGTGGACAATAATCTGGTATATTGAATTTTTGAATTTCTTGTATAGTATGATATGTTCTTGAATAGTACATGTGTTTTGCACTAAAATTAACAAATAAATATTAGTAATTAAATATCACTATATATAAGGCATATTATTATTTATGAAAAAATAAATATGTTAATAATAAACTTAACTATTTCCACATGTAATCTCGCACTAAACATATAACTGGAACCAACAAAATAAATAAATAAAATATAGGCCTTGTGAATAATTTAGGAATAACGGTATTATATTCTTTCGAGATTCTAAATCTTGGTACAATCAGGCTATAACCAAAAATAAAGACTATCCAAAGAACAAATGATCCAGAAATAGCAATATATGTAGATTTCGTCCATAAATCAGTAAATTAATAAATATTAATAAAATGATTTTAAAAAAAAAACTTTATACATACTCTGTTATTAATACAGCTTTCCCTAAAACTGTTGCAAAAACTGCCATGTATAGTGCCATACCCCAAAACCAGTAACCTGCCACTTGTCCATTTGTTAAAATCAAGTCATTATAAAAAACGTATATTGATACCCAATACAAAATCTATAAATAACATAACATTTGCACTACGAGCAGTTGCATTCCTTCAAGAATTCCAACACCAATATGAGCTGCTTGAATAATTGAAACGTCATTTGCACCATCACCAATAACCAAAAGAATGGCTTTAAGGTGACGCTTCACTAGTTTTACAAGTGCTTTTTGAAGTGGTGATACTCTGCAACAAATAACCACTTTGTATATAGTTGCAAGCTTAAGGAAAACCCTCCTCAATTTTCTTGTCAAGAGCAAATTCAAGTATTCACCATCTATAACAAGGGCGTAAGGTTATATTTACATTATTTACATAATTAAAATGATTAAAAAAAAATCAAGGTTTATTGATTATAAACTTACTTCAAGAAGGATCTAATTCATCAGACTTTTGCTAACTATCCCTTCTGCTAGTCATCTTTTGATATTATTTAATTAATTCTATTAAATATGTAAAGCAACTATTATTTACTTACTAATTTGAAGCAAAACCCTTCTAAACAATATTCTATAACATTCTATAAATGGGATCCCTTAAGATATGAACCATAATATCTAAATTAGTTACAGCAAAGCATTTAATATATCAGTTACGATATGAAAATAAGTCATCACAATATATTAGGATAGTTATAGAAAGGAATTACCTCATTACACATTGAGGATCCAATTGTGAAAATATGGTTATTTCTTACTGTATATCTTTAATTTCGTCTTCAGCATGTTCAAAATCTATGGCCTTGATGGCCACAGGTATTTTAGCCCTTTTATCAAACTAAAAAAAAAATATTATTAAGAAAATTTCAACTAATAAAGATCAGAATTGAAACTAACAACTAACCTTTAAATACTTCACTAAATGATCGTTTGCCTGTTAATTGTGTACATAATTTAAACAAATGCAAATGGAGATATTCATACTTGAAGTACACATAAGTCAAACAAATGTTATCCAGTAGACGTCAAACAAATAATAATAATAATAATTTTTACTATTCTATCTTGTTTCATATAATAATTTTCTGGATCCGTTTAGCCTAAAGAACTCTTAAAATATATATACAAGTAAATAAAATATTGAAAGTTCATAATAATTTTTGAAAATTATTGAAAGAAGAAAATTGAAAAGATAATATACCATTGTAAATTATTGAAATATAGATTATATTATCTATTAGTCACTGTTGTCAATTAAATGAATATATAGACATGTTAAATTCTGAATAGACAAAACTGATTAAATCCTTTAAATAAATTTACAAGAATATTTAAGTTTTTCGTTGATGAAGTTTACTTATTATTTGACTTTTGTGCTTTGAATACATTTTCGTCTTCGATATTTATAAGATTAAATGGTATTCACATACTATATTTAAGGTAAAATTCAAATTACTTTTTTGAAAGATTGTTTTTGGTTTTAAATCCATTAAAGATAGTAAGCTTATTATTATCAAGAGAAGAATCTAGCGATTCTTAAACATTATGACATGGAGATGTAATAACTTATGAAATCATTGGGTTAGCATAGAAGTGAAAGTTGCATTTCGGCTGTTTTCTTATAAAAATGCGTAAAATTATATTGTCAATCTTATAATAAATGATATTACACACAAAATTAAGGGACATTTCATTTGATCGATAATAATAAATATGAATGTTGTGTCACGTGACTATATATTTTAAGAAAAGTTACGTTTTTGATGTAATACAAGAAAAAAACCCGGGCGCCGATGGCGCCCTGATTTTTTTCAAATTTGATGTTAGTTTTAGGTTGTGAAAATTTTTTATCGTGTAAAATTTAAATAATTGTAGTAGTTGGGTTATTTTTATTTATTTTTTTTTTTTGTATTTTTTGAATGATTTTAAGTTATAGTTTATTTATTTATTTTTATAAATTTATTTTAAAATTAAAAAAAAATTAGAATATTTATTGTATTAATTCTTCATATACAACATTTAGCGCTTTTGTTACTGAATTGTTATTTGGTAAGAGAATTAGTGCATGAGTTCTATTTTTTACTCGGGATATTGCTGTGTATAGTTGTCCATGCGCGAATACATTAGTTCTAAGGTCGATGACAGAATATACACCTTTTTAATTGGTATATGAATAACAAGCTATACTACCTATTGAAACTACTCTGCTGATAGAACCACAAGAAACAGATCAAGAAATATCATTAGAAAATAGTATCCTATATTATTTTCACAAAAAGCATCTGCCAACGCTTTTCTTGCATTCACGCCAAGATTATTCATTAAAAGATTCAAATAAGTCAATCTCTTGTTTCTTAAAAGAGCATCTGCTATCACTTTCCCCCCTACATAGCCAATGTTATTATTTAAAAGATTCAAATAAATTAAACTATTGTTTTTGGAGAGAACATCTGCCATTGCCTTTCCTCCTCCAAAATAATTAAGGTTATTGTTGGCAAAGACTAAAGTAGTTAATGTATTGTTTTTAGAAAGAACATCTGCCATTGCCTTTCCTCTAAAATAATCAAGTTTATTATCATCAAAGACTAAAGTAGATAATGTATTGTTTTTGAAAAGAGCTTCTGCTATTGCTTTTCTTCCGTAAGAGCTAAGGTTAATATATGAAAGGTTTAAATCTTTAATTTTCTTACTCTTTTGTAGTAACATTGAAATCAAAACACAATAAATAACTGTTGTATTTTTTCCACTGCTAATATTTTGGTCGTTGACATGGAACTTTTCTATTTCAAAGCTCAATTCTTGTTTATTGACAGTTGTCATAAAGTTTGTATATTCAAATAACTGGACCAGATTATTTTCTGGAAGGTTAATTTTAACTAGAACAAGCATTGCTTGTTCATCAGCATTTAGACATGTTTCGATGACTGCTCTACATAATAGCAGAACAACAATTTTGCACCATTTACAGTTTACACGAAGACATGAAAATAAGGTTGTTTAATTACTATTTAGGCATTCAAATATTTCTAAGAGGGTCTTGTTCGATAAACGTGTGATAGGACTGACGAGAGAATCTATAAAATTGTTTGGTTTAAAGGTCAAAATTTTCTGCTGGAATTCTTTATAACAATATATTGTATTTAATTTAATAAATTATTAAGTTATGTAATACAGTCAGGGATTTTGCCAAATATGGACAGTATAGATCGCACCTTGTATAGTAAAGAAATGTTGATCACATGATTCTAGATCATTTGGTTGTATGAAAATCATGTGTAATTGACCAATCAAATTTAACCACAACAAAATTTACTTATTAATTAAAAGAAGTTAGTTATCATTTGCCTTTTTTATAATGGCTTATTGCGAGGGATCAAATGGGATCATTTAAAGTAGACATCTTATATTAGCTAATTGTATATCGTTTAATATCGAATAAAAAATAAAATATCAAATGATCCCACGGTGAAAAAAAATGTTACACAGCCAATCAAATTCATGGAATGACACAGAGATCATTCTAGAATGTGATTTCCTAATTTAGTAAAATCCCAGGTACGTACGTACATACGTATATACGTATGTAAAAAATTTATATGGTACAATTATCATATATATATTAGTACGATTGTGATATTTAACGTTTAAAACAGGTTTAAAAAATGTGTAACTGGTTAATTAAAAAATTTGGCAATAAGATAAAGTAAAAATAAAATACGTCATTTTATCCAATACTTCAAAATTTTGAGTAAATATAAAACAAGCCATATTATCTAGTGTTTAAAAAAAAAATGAGATCACAAAATTCTAGTCAAGATTCTGGGACAAATGATCTAAACAAGCTAGAAACATTTGTTAATAAAATCTTTAATTTGATCTATTAATTACTTTTCTGCTATAACCGCAATTACGTTGTTTTGATTCTCATCAATCTGACCAATAGAAAAATTAATAATTTACGTATCATTTCAAAATTTTAAAAAATTAATTAAAGAAATTTTATCGAGTCTTTTCACTTCTAGAAAAATCCTGTGAATTTTTATATTGGTTAACTCATTGATTAAATATAATTCAACAATAATTCAATGCAGATGCGTGCTGAATTTTTGGCTTTAAGGAAGTTTGGCTAAACAAATATCATATATGACTGCAAAGTTCTGGTTTGTGTGCCTAACGTATTGAAGCAGATAAATTTTGTTTAATTTTATTTTCAAATTCTGCCTAAATTTGCATTTTAATTTTGCCCAAATTTATATCTGATTTACCAAAATTTATACTTTAATTTTGCACAAATAACAGATCCTAATTTACAAGCTCATTTAATATATAATTATTGAATATTCAACTAATCATATTTGTCAACACCTAAATATTACTCAAGT